CACACACACACACACACGTGTGCTCAAAGACATAAGAACACCGGTACGCACACAAGCACATAGTCGTTCTTATACTTTTGCATCCAAATTTGACTGTAACTTGCTATAGAGAGTAGCACTTTAAATTACAATGGCACGACTGTGTTGTTTTGGAAACAGAAATTTGTTTGGAATCTTTACACATTTTTGACATATCAAAACTCCTACGGCAATGCGATCTCTACAGAAGGACCAGAGAATGACAAAGCCCGTTCATCTAAAACCGAACACCATTACTCCAAAAACAGCGGTAAACCGAAACAAAAGAAAATTATAAAATTATATCTTCCCAGCTTGGTCTTTTTATTATTAAGTTATAGCAAGCAGTGCTGTAATGAAACGTTTGTTTTAATACGAGTATTACGGCTCTTGCAGCACAATAAAGTCATATAAGTGCCAACAATTAGAGGTATTACAAGAGAGCAACATACACAAAAAGGAGGAGGAAAGACAAGGACGAAAAAGTGTTAATATAATAGAAGGAGGAAACCCCACCAGAGCACCCGCCAACCACTCACTATAGATACCTAGTCCGATAGATACTGTTCTAAATCCAGACTGGAAACCACACTTGCTTGTTCTGTTTGTTCTAGTAAGAGTTTTTAGGCACTTGCAACACATTTACATTATAATATAAATGCCGAGGATTAAAGGAATCACGAAAGAGTGAAAAACAGAACAAAGGAGGGGAGAATAAGGACAAAATAAAATAGGAAAGGAGCAAACCACATAAGAGCACTCGCCAACCACCCACTTATGGAAACCACAGATATTGGGATGACAGAAAAAATGCAACAAATACATTAATTGTTGGTCATGCTTCTTGCCATACGAGTCCAGCTTATTGCTGTCAAAGATCTGGCTCTGAGGGATAAGATAAGGGCTTGGTTAATCAACTGGAATTTCCAAACCAAAACTCGTACAGATTTTAAAAAAAAAATTTTGATAAAATTTTGTTGTCATAGAAGGGAGAAGTTGTTTGTACCTTTAGCAGCAAGAGGAAATTGTAGACAAAGAAATCTGACAGATTCAACTCAACAAATCACCACAGGTTGTTATTCCTTTCTCAGATCGCTTTAAGTAAGTTGATTGTTTTAAAAAAAAACCAATACGTTTTAAAATTGCAAATGTAGTATAACAAATAAAGCGCTCATTTTTGGCTCACAATATGTGAAGCTATAAATCAAACTATGATAAGGTTATTAATGACAAAATTGATCACAGGGATAAATGTAGTCAGTTATTTAGACAATAGGGGTGGCCCTTTAATGAGCAATTTAGACCCCCTCCCCCCTCCCCCCCCCCCCACCCTCCTTTTCTCAAAATGTGTGATTTGTGGCATTAAGCAGTGTGAGGGGATAAAAAAAAGGGGAGGGGAAGGCCTATTAAAGTCTTATTATTAAGTTTTACAATGTTGGAATACTTCATTGGTTTTGAAGAAAAAAGTCCCACATTTGCAGGTGTAATGTCCCCATGAAGTAAATACAGTGGCACAGGCACCCAGTACCCACAAGTACAGTACGTACATACAATAGTGCATCAGTTTTATATAACATACAAAACCACACCAATGGGCCACAGACATTTGATCAACTCGTCTTTTCTGGTGGCCACAGACATTTGATCAACTCGTCTTTTCTGGTGGCCACAGTACAGTCCATGTACCTTGTTTCTAAGCTAGAGTTATACGTCATGTTCAAGGACACTCTCCAGTGACCATCCACCAAAACGCAATCTTAAAAACACATGTTTGACATTTTTGTTGGTTTCAGTGATGATTGTTCTTTATGTGCCACTGGACGCATAAATTATTAAACAATGTATAGTTGAATAATCACGTAGTAATTTGGGATCAAATGGAAGGTTCACAGTAACAAGTTTACAGTTAAAGCCACAAATTTCTCCCTTAGTCAACTTCACGTGGAAAACAGATTTGGATAAGTTTGCTAATGCGGCATCACACTTTTCATAATCAACATATTTCACAAAAAATATTGTATTGTTAAGGAGCTCTCGTGGTCGAGAGGTTATGGTGTTTGCCTCTCATTCAATAAGGTCCCGGGTTCGAATCCAAACTGCGACAGAAAATTTTCTTCTCTAAACTTTTCTCCTTTCACCTCTTTTCCTGCCCTATAATAATGATCTATCGTTTGCTTTCGTCTCCACTTTCTGCCTCCTCCCCCTCTGCTTTGCCCCCTCCTCTGGGCTCCTGCCGCTTTCTGCAGCCTTTCTACTGCTACTCCTCGACTCCTTCTCACTGCTGTCTTTCACCCACATCCCTGATCTTACGGTAGGTAAGATCTTACACCTAGCCTTCTCGGATAACGGCGAAAAATCTCGGGAGGTTCCGTGAGCAAGTTGTGCATGTTAAAGATCCTTTGGTGGTCCTACATCGATAAGAGTAGGCTTCGGCCGCCACACGTGCAAAATTCAAAATTTCCTTCCACCAACTGAAAAATATTTAATGTGTCCAGTGCAGACGTATGACCTTATGCAGTTGCGGGCCCCATAAAATACCTCCCCCCAAAAAAAAAAATTAATTAAAACAATTTAAAAATTAGTAAAATTGTATTGTTATTTTGGTTCCCATGTCTTAATGTACACACATGGACAACATAAATGAATAATTCTAATAATACAGTTGAGTCTGCTTAAACGGCACTTGATTAATCCAAAAAGTAAAATGAAATAAAATAAAAGCCCAGACTTTTTCTTCTTCTATTTGAGCAATCTTCCTGAAACGAAAACCCGGCTGAACTAAACAAGACCACGTGACCCACAGATTTCAGTTTATCCCCTTTACAGTCTGGCTTCGAAATTTAATATTCTCTGAAGTCAAAACTTCATAATCTTGTTGATAAAAATGCAGGAGAAAAGCATTAAATTTTTGTTGTTGCAAGCATAGGATAAAATATGTATGAAGTGTGTCATCATGAAAATGACCGAATTACTTGTTTGCTCATTGGTAAAAAGAACACGCATCAAACATTTGTAACTGAAAACCTTCGTAAAATGATAATTATGTATTACAGACATCAAAATGATATTTCATATTCATATGTAATGTGTCACGCTGAATGCAAAATTGTACTGGGATTAAACATACAATTACCATTATACACAAAAAAGATAAAAGTTTAGCATTACTTTCATAATCGTGCTCACATTGGTATAAATCTACACTTCCACAGATTATCATATTGAAAGTAAACAGGCTGTATGTAACATTATTGAGTAATACTTACGAAATCAGAACTAGCTCACTAATGTTAGATTATATTATTGTATTTTTCGAAAAATATCGCAAGAGACAGTCTAATTTGTGAGGCAGCGTGGTGGAATCAGGCTCTCGCCAAAATAGTGAAATCGAAGAAAACAGCAGTTTTCTCCCTGCTTAGCAAATTTTATCGAATTTTTTGTTTTTGGCTCAACACCTTTTATGTCCATTTACAAACACATTCCTATGAGGATTTCACCGAAAACGTTGATTAAAGGCACAAAAATATAAATTTACAGTTTCCATGGACTCTCCAGCTTTGGAATTTACCAAGCTTTGGTGGCCATTTTCTCGCTAATTTTACCTTTTAAATCAGGTGACCCCCACCTCCTTTAATCCAAAATATCTCCACTTCTATTGAAGATGGATGGGTAATTTTTTTATTGAAAGCAAGACAAATGAACTAGCTTTAAGATGATATGAATAACTCAATATGACCAAAAATTGACGAGAGCCTGATTCCACCACGCTGCCTCACATTTGGTTGTCTACAGGATGTAGTATGATTCACAACGTCGTGGAATCAGACGCGTCATTGTTTTAGCATTGTATTATTATTGAGTTATTGCCATCTATTTCAAGGCTTGTTAATTGATCTAGCTTCCAATGAAACAAAAACGCCCATCTATCTTGAATAAAAATCAAGATATTTACGATGGAAGGAAACAGGGGTCGCCTGGTGTCAGACGTTAAACAAGTGAGAAAGTTTACGGACTTCTACAGCTTGAGTGTCTTCGGAAACTGTAAATTTACATTTTTTATTCCTTTTATTGTTTTTCAGTATAATCCACTCAGAGATTTGCTTTTCAAAGACATGAGGTGCTAAGCCAAAAACAAAAACAAAACCAAAGACAAAAAAAAGAAGAAAAAAAAGAAAAAGAAAAAGATAAAAATTGCTGAAGAGCGGAAGAATGACGGTCTCTTTGGTTACACCATTTTTGACGAGCGTCTGATTTCCTCAAGATGCAACAACCATTATCATGTATAAATGTACACAGTTTGTTAAAGATAAGTAAGTCCTGTTGAATATTGTCCTGTGTTTCTGCTCTGGAATCACAAGCGACGAGGCACAGTGTGGTCATTATCGTTGACGTAAGGATTGGCTCCTTGCTTCTTGTTTTCCTGAAAAGATAAACAGTAAAATAAACTAAAACATCTGTTATCCTCCAACTCAACAACAACAAGCCCGCCAAGACCTTTTTCATCACGCTTTTGTTAACGTCACATTCATCCTTGAACCTGCAACCCAAGCCATTGTCACCTCAGAGAGCAAGACAATCCATGGCCACTTTACATATTATAATCATTCATAGATACCATTGATTGAATAGCGCAAATTCTCGCTCTGCAGTAAAATATAGCTCTACGCACTTTACAGTCTATATTATTACCAAATTAAACCTGACTACTTTCTGAAATAATCTCAACTTCCTGGGAAACATACATTGTAAGCTGCAATTTTATAGGCGCTAAAAACACTAACATACTGACAAGAACTTTTGCTGTCTATGGACGGGTACCCATTCCCACCTGGGTGAAATGAGAAAAATTCGTGTAAAGTGCCTTTTCCAAAAACACACCGTCGGACTGGAGGCTCGAACCCCCGAACCTGTAATCTTACGATTATGAGTCCGCTGGCCTAACCACAAGACTAGAAAATATTTAAGCCATACTACTGTTTAAAACATTACAAAAAGTACTGTGCTAAAACATAAGCTGATGTGTGGGCAGCCCAGGATTATTGATGAACCTGGCAGGCGTTATCTCTCTAGCTCTAATAGGCGTCCACGTCATAGTCACAAGCTATCATCACCACAATCATAACAGACTTTAAGTATTTCGTTTGTCATGTCAGTTGGATTTGATAAAAAAAAACCATACACAAATAACTTTTTTTTTTTTTAAAGCACTAAACGGATAAATGACTGTGGTTAGATCATCAATTATCCACGAGTGCCGTATCTGCCATTCCCTGCAGTAAAGGGAGGTGATAAGCAGATGAATACATTTTAATATTCTCTGATAACTTCCTTGTCGCTGTCATTTTAAAAATATGATTTACTTTAGTTTATTTTTGTATTCATTTATTTATTTATTTATTTATTTATTTATTTATTTATATATTTATTTATATTCATTTCTTTGATTGATTAATTCGCTGATTGATTGATTGATTGATTGATTGATTGATAGATTGATTGATTGATAGGTAGATAGATAGATAGATTGATTGATTTTTAGGGGGGGCAGCTAATATGTCAATATGTACCTCTGCTGAAACGTTCAAAAGTTTGGGTCCGAAAAGTGTAGGCTCTACCAGGGTTCTACTGTACTTTTAGCTTTGGCTATAGTCTCCCCCCTCTCTATAGCTGTATCCCATCTAAATATGAGTCCAAATATAAGTCCCTCCTCCTAGTCCACTAAGTCCTTCTTCTCTTTCTCTTTCCTTGAGGATTCCATCTCAAAGCTTGGTAGGCAATGTTTGTATTAGATTGTCTCAAGGTGTGTCCTGTCAATTTCTCTCACATACTTGACCTCTAATTTTTCGTAGTCTTCCTCTTCCAGCTCATCCTCCTTCTGTTGCTCCTCCTCCCTCTCCTCTTCTAGAATAAAATTTTATTTCCCCTCAAACCCATACAAAGAACTCACCTCCATGTTCACATAGGTCCCTTTTCTTGTGGAATTGTTCTGCAGGGAAGAAGACGGACCGTCCATTTCATCAGCTGGAGATACAAAAGAGGTCACGTGATCTATATCTTCTCATTTCTTTTTCTTCAGTTTTGACACTCAGACGTAGAAAAGTGAAGGTTCTCAACCCACAAAGAGACCGATGTTATACATTTTCTGTACTGTGGAGTCCATTTAAACAGAACACGGTTAATCTGAAAAAGATGCTAAATCAAAATTAAATAAAATCCAAGGTTTGTTGCCTTCTATGTCTTTGTAAGAAAATTATTGATAAGCCGAAATGCTCCCATTTCTAAAGCAAAAAGAATGTCTAGGGTCATGTCGTCTAAATCTCCACTTGCAAGCCTCAAGTAATCAAATCATCATTGCCTTCTTCGCTTCCAGATAGCAGAACAAAAGAAAGAAATACTAGGACCCACGTGTGTCAATTGCAGGCCAGAGAAAAACATCGCCAGTGTGCTACTTGCCTCCACAAACATACAAAAAAAGCGAACGAGCTCTGTCTAGTGATGCAAGAGTAGCGAAAGTAAAGAGTATGTCTTACGGCCTTCGGCTGGTCATAGCCTATTGTCCCTGTAAAGATAGTCACATAGACCTTAGAGCTACACATGAGCACGAGACGGCAAATGGTGGGTTTCATGATGTCACTGCCATTGGGCGTTCTTTCTCACTTCTCTGTAGACTATTCTTTCATCTGTTCTCTGTGGTTGTTGGACAGGTTAAGCAAGCTCACAATGTCAAAGAGAAAACACAATGCGTACAACTTGCAGCTCCGATTGTAATTACCGTAAAAAAGTAGAAGTGAAACAAGAACTTTCAAAGAGTAAAATTTGCAGCAAGCAAGGCTTTCTCAACTCTACAATGCCAACAGTAATCTCTATTTGAGGAACCTCTCTAAACCAAAAACCTCGATAAATCCAAGAAAATCCGTCGGTCGTACACATTTCAGTTTGAGCGAACTCCAATATATTTACCTTATACTCCACTGGCAATCATAATATTCTGATCCTGAAGATAACAATTCTTCACATTATTATACCAAGGCGTACTCATCTATGGAAATGACGGACAAAACATGTTGGATATTCATTCTGCAACTGACCTTAACTTGGCTATTAAACCCATTGGTATCATTCCATTATGCAAAACAATTAGTTATTGTTCCTGTACTTTGAGTCATCTAGTATTTCAAACTGTAGGAGTATATACGAGGAAACTTGTGAGCCTGCTTGTATTATCCCAGTCATCTGTCTGTCTTTGTCACCATATTACACTTCACTTAGTTTAGTCAGATGAGTGTTTTAAAGAGCACGCAACTACACAAGGTCATTCACAACGGGTTATTGAATTTCACCAAACAGGACCAACACCACACAAAATAAAAACAAGTTTTACGTCTGTCTTTGTCTACATGTTTATGGATTCTACATTGTGCAAGTTGAAGAAAAAGAAAACAAAATGTGCATGTGAAACCTGAGGGAAAATGTACGCGTGGCACAATTTATCTGTCCATCAGATCAGAAATGATAAACTTATCAAACCCACTGTTAGAATATTCTGCATCGTGTTGAGGTCTCATGTAAGGATCTGCGAAAGAAAGAAAACAAATATTAATTACTCAAAATTCTTAATGAAACTTCAACAAATGTAATTTCAATTTCTAATACAGATACACATTTTTCATAATGCTTGACTGGATGGAACCTCCTCTTTTAGATCAAAATGAATATAAATTGAGTTGTACACGATGTAATGAAGTTTTGCATTGTTCACCCTGATATTACAAGTTCAAGAGCCATGCTTCTTCAACTAAGCAAATCAAAGTTCTGATGCACTCAAATAATCTGATCTTTAATCTAAGAAAAAGTATTTGAGAGCACACAGAGAGTACAGTCACAAAAGAAAACACTTCAAGCGATATCATTCATCCAGTATCCCCCCCCCCCACCTTAAAAAAGAACAACTAAACATAAGAACCCACTTTCAACACCAGATTGTATATTTGTCCAACAACTTCCACTTTCTGGCAGTCTGTGTCTACTGCATCCCCGTACCTTGCCACCCAAGACTCCTTTTCTCTTCTTCCACATGTAAAAATCCCCAAAGAAAGGAAAAACGTTCCAAAAGATGGCCCATTTTGTAATGCTATTTCTCTCCTTGCCAGCAAAGTTCACAGCAAACATATTTACGTGCAAAAGCTTCCCTGGCTGGATCCTCAATGAGGTCATACGTTCCAGGATTGTGGGTTTGACCTTGACCTCCTGGTGCTGCTCTTGCCACCGGTGACGTCACCAGTACGTTGTTGTAACGTCCCCCGTCACCGTCTGTCTGTGTGGCGTCAGGTGTAATGATTTCCGCCATAGTTCTTCCTGTCAGGACCGGGGTGTGGATGTCCTGTTGTGACGTCATCTGGACCGAATCCACGTCCACGTACGGACTTTCTTCTTGGCGGCCTGTGGATGGAGAAGGGGAAACCAGCATGAGAGAGTGACTACAGGACATATTGTTGCAAAGATCGTAGAAGGATGCCTGCTTGTATGTCATGGTATTCTGACCCCAAAACCATCTTTTTCTTCCCCTCACCACCTCTCTCTCTATATATGCTACTTCATCCCCCACCCCCGCCCGCCCTCACCCCCTCATCACCTCTCTCTATATATGCTACTTCATCCCCCACCCCCTCACCAC